TTGCTATTCCAGAAGAGCAAGAAAAAAAACCCAGAAATGAACATGGTGAAATGTACTTATTACAGTCAGTGATAGTCACACTGGCAAGAACCGATGTCTATTTCTTACAAAGACATTTCAAATGAAAACCGGAACAGAGTGAACAGGGTAATTGATGTAAGGGCATCGTGTAGTTTGTAGAGCAAGATTAAGGGGCTCTAGGTTCTTTGGTTCAGACTTCATAGGAGAAAAAGCCACAGGGCTGTTAAGGAGGTTTTTTTTGTCTTTTCCCTTTACCTGTCTTGTTTGGGTCTATAACGTTCTAAACATACTTAATGTTTAGCAGTCATACTTGAGTGGTTCTTCAGTATTAGAAATCTGAGTTGCTGCAGTTGTATTGATTCTTGTGGTGATGGGCTCAAGGCTGTTTTTCTGAAAAAGCTGGATGCTGAGATAAAGAGGTACAGGCATTGCTGAGGTTTAGATACCTGATCTCAAGTCTAGTGTCTAGTTGAGATGGAAATTAATGGCTGTACAGCATTCTGCTTGTTGAGAAAGATTATTGGAAATTATCCCAGATCAGGCGGATTTAGGAATAATGGGGAATTACAACTAGCTGATTTTTACTGGTGTAGCATAGCTGCAGGTTTAAAAAAGTTCATAAACTCAGTTTAATGCACAGTAAAGTAGTTTCTAGAGACATATGTTATTATATGTCATCTTTTTATCTTCATCAGGAATGAGAGAAATTCTAATGTACTAGAAGAATCAAATGTTATTTGGAATATTTTCTTATATAAGGTGTTCTTCATCTCTTTATTAAATTCCTGTATTCCAGTTTTCTAGTACTTATATGGCATGGGTGTTTGCTGGATATTGCTCCTCTTTATTGAATAATCAAATGAGTTGGAATGTGCCCATGAAGTCCTTCAGTTTGTAACTGTGGAACAGAACAGAACTTGTTTATTTATTTATTTCTATTTAAGATGTGCTCACATTCTAGCTCCAAATTGAAGGTGACTTAGCTTGACTCTAAATTGGTTTTGTTTGTTTGTGGTTTTTGTTGTTGTTTTGGTTTTTTTGTCCATAGATGAAGCTGCTAGATATTTTATGACAAGAGCAGACTGGCTATAACCATAGGAATGCAAACAAATTTAAATTTGTTATCTGAAAAACTGTCATTAACCAGACATTTTAATGTTTGGCCAAGCTTAGGAACTGTGTAAAGTGTTAGTCATCCACACTGCTTTTTAGACTGCATTTTAGACTGCTTTTTTCCTTCTTAAATGTTATGAGCTCAGATCATAATTTCTGTAAGCCAAAAGGGGCATTGGTACCGTGGTGTTGGTGTCTTCTGGGCTTGAGTGCTTTAGAACTAGTTTGAAGACTGTTTTTTGAGGTATGTGAAGTTTGTAAAATTACAAATTCTGTAACAATTACTGTTCTATAATAATTAGTTTGAGATGACCATATAATGATTCTAAAGAATTTAGCTCACTCTAAGATAATAGGGACCCAACTTCAAAATGAACTATAACAATGTGGAAACTCAGAAAGCTGTGGATTTCATCTTGCTGCTTTGAGGCAGTTACACCATCAACCAAAGAATACTTTTGCATACGTTTTAGTACCAGAATATCATTACCTGTTACAGTTTACATTTCAGATTTTGAAGACACATATCTTAAACAGTAGTGTTTGATTTATTTTATTCTGTCTAATGAATTTTGTGATCTTAGAACTTTAAATTGAGACAGTGTAGCAGAACACATGAAACTTATTCCTCATGATAAAGAATAATGTAGACTCAACTGTATACATCAGCATAGCTACTACTAAACTATCTGGATATTTTATATCCTGTATGGTAAAGACCTCTGGTATTTTCTGCTGACTGTGTGCTGTTCCCAGTTAGTGTGCATAATTTTTATTTCTAATCTTTGTTTTATTCAAAAGCTTTTTAGGAACAGAGCCATGTGAAAAAATACCAGAGTGAGAGTACTTGAAAAATATACTGGATCAAGGATTATATTTCATATATTTGTTTCAGAAAAGATAATAATAATTAATAATAATAGTGAGGAATATGTTCTTGTATTTATTTCCTCTATTGAACTCCTCCTGTACCTTTAATGCAGCAACTACTCAGCTGGGCTTTTTAGCTGCAGCATTTTCTTTTCATTTCCGTAGGCATGTAGTCAGTGGTGGAAGAAAGAGAGGCTACGACACAGCTTTCTTTTATTTCCTTCTCTTCAAGATTTTGCATATCACAGGCACCAGATGTTTTGCTTCGCTGCTTTACCATATTCTACTTTTCAGTGTGGCGTTAGACGGAAACTGAAATGGGAAGTTGTGAGGGGGAAGGGTGATGAAAGAAGCAGTTAGCATTGGCATAAAATTGAACTTCTTACAGAGATTAAATATAAATTAATTTATCATTTACTCAGCATTAAATTGGAAACCATTTTATATTTTAGCAGCACAAAGTAGTATTACACTGGCAAAATTTCTGCTGAATGCTACATTTATATATGAAGTTCTGAAAGTATTTTTTCTGATATTCATTTTGGTTTCATGCTGATTAGGTCTGTGCTTACAATTATGCAGCATGAAAGAACTGATCTTCATTTGGGGTTGCACAGAGCATCTCATGTATATTTGAATACTTGATATAGCAAGACAAAGGGCATCACTCTAAAGGAACATAAGTGAAAAATAGATCAATGGCTAAACCCAATGTATTCCTGAAGACCTAGAAACAAGTTTAAAGTGGAACATGTAATTTCTGGTTGTTTTTCTATTAATCTGTTGGTGTAACTTAGACATTTCGCTGCTGATTTTAGCACAGTCATATTGCTTGCTTATTACTGGTTACCTGTGGCAGAATGTCTTGGTTTTCAGACATTTAACCTCTTTTATGAATCTGATAAAATACTATGATTTATTCTATACTCCTAGGTCTATTTTGATAGGTCTCATGTAGGCAGGCTTCTTCTCAGCATTCTCTTGTGTACTGTCTGTTCTCAAGTCAGCTTAACTTTGGATTTAAATATGATGTCAGAAATCTACAAAGAGGCAGCTGGAGTGCTGTACTGGTGACGTCTTTAAGCTGAGGAAAAAGGTGTTGTTTCTTAGGAATTTTGTCTTTTTGCTAAAGGTCTTTCTTATGGGGAGAGAGCCTTAGGTGTATAATTTATCACAACTGTATCTGGGTGCTATAAAAGATGTTTGAGAATATTTAAGGAAGGTACGGGCTAAGGGCTCAAAGTCTCTAGCATTACAAAATGCTAACTCCTAACCAGTTTCTTCAACCTGGAGAAGCTCAGCTGTTCATCTTTCAGACACTGTTTTGTGTAATATTAAAATGATTGTACTAAACTTAAGTAAAATTTAAAAGGATGGCTTTGGAGTTTTTTTCTGAAACTGGTCTATTTTCTGGAAGCAACATCTTGTTGGGGATTCTTTTAGCTTCACGATATGTACAGTATTCATGAATTTTATTTCTAGCATTAAAAATAATATAAAAGAAAAATGCTGTAAACAGATAATGAGGCTAATCTATCTGTTTGCTCCTTAACAAGATGATGCAAGCTTGAACACAATGATAAATTGTGGATAAATCTCCTTTTCAAATACTTTAAAAATGTATCTCAGAGGTGGATGTAAATTATTTTTAAAAATGAAGATTTTGATTTTACTTAGTTGTATCCAGTTTTATTTTTCTAGGCAAGTTGAAGTCACATTTTAATAACAGATTAATGTTTCTGTACTGTATCTACAACCTTGTATATGAAGTGCCTCCTAAGAATTTTAATAGCATGGCACATTTTTTTGTTTAGAGATTCATTGTTAATTTTTCGGTATAAATAAGTACTGAAAAAACAGTGTTAGGACAAATAAACCGGTGACACAACTAAATATAAAACGACCTAGTTTCTTTAGCTTAATAAAATTGATGCAAGAAATGTATTCTGTAACTTTTTTCTTTCTCACTGAAAGTTCTAAATCAAGGGAGACATTTTCAGTGATCCTTTTGGGCATTGAATAATATTCTCTTAATTTGCCAAAATAGGATTAGTGAGTAGATCTCATTAGGAATTTGCACATGACTTTATTTTTATATAGATAAAAGGGAGCAAATTCCTTAAAGTCAAAGAAAGTTGGAAAAATAAGAACTAAGGAACCAAGCAGGTAGAAAGCATTAGAGCAAGGATATTTTTTCCATGCCTGCCAGGCAAAATTAGTTTGCCTTCTTTCTTAAAAGGATGTATGCTAAGTATCAGAAAAGAAGATCCACAGCAAAAGATAAACAGTGAAACAATTTTTTAAAAAAAACTTGGATATTGTCTTAACAGAAAATATATGTAAGAGTTGTAAAGATGGATTCATTTTCATTAGAAGTTTTAAGTCTATCTGTTGATAAAATTTTGAAGAAAGAAGTGTAATTGTTCTAAAAAGATAGAAATGTAATGTTTTTGTTATGTACAAAGTATTTGTAAAGGCATCTTTATTCTTCATGGCATCTTTATGACCTGACCTTCTACCCCATCACACTTTAATCCTCAGAAATGTTGTATTTATAGTTCAGGTTTTCAAAATTAGAATTTCCACAACATTCATTACTCATCACCTTCACCTCTTACTTCCTTTGAAACTAATGCTACTTAAAGCACTCATTAAAATTGTTCCCAAACTCACTTGTGTGTAAAGATTGTTGAATAACCTTCCTCTGCTACAGCAGTTTTTCCACATAGCTCTTAGAACATGTATGAATATTTGAGAGCAAATGATAAAAAAAAAATCTCGTAGGCTGCAGTAATTGCTTTACCCTTGTATAATCTAATGGTGTTAAAACTATTTTGTTATGCCATCTTGAAAGCAAGATGAAGTTTTATTGCTTATATCTGATGTTTGGAATACATGTATGTCTTTGAGAATTGATATCTTGTCATATTCACCAGTTAATTTATAGAGAAGTGGTTGCAGTCATTAACACTGATGCATATGTATACAATTCTTAGACATATGAAGGACCAAAACAAGAAGGTTGCCAACCTGAAGCACAATCAACAAATGGAGAAAAAGAAGAATGCACAGTTGTTGGAAGAAGTTCGTAGGCGAGAAGACAACATGACTGACAACTCTCAACACTTACAAGTGAGTTTATGTTTCAGTTCTGTTTCACTCTGCGTCTTCCAGGTTGTGCATGTGTAATGAATCTCTTCCCACAAAAAGCTGATGGCTCGGGGAGTGCAATTTTCTATCAGCAGGGATATAATAATCTGGTTGCATAATCAGATAATTTAATGAGTGTGATTTGATCTCTGTTAATTAGTAGTGGATTAAAAGGTTGAGAATGTGTTGTCCAACAGGGTAATGGTGAATTCAGAATCATCACCAAAGATAATATTTATCTTATGTACTTAGATGTAACATAGAGGAGCACTGGAGACAGCTATAGCTGTCTCATCTGACAGATGTCTTATAATCATTACTGCACAGTTACTACATCAGCAACTTTTTTCTTAGAGCTGGAAAGAAAAGGTTCTCTTATCTTTTTTATTTAAGATAGACTTTGAACTTTGAACCTAGGATAATTTTTACAGTTTTTAAGTTACTGAGTTCAGGTATTGAGATTTGAAGGTTAATTAGCTGATCTGGTTGAATAGTACATTACACGCTAGGGGATTTGTATTAAAGACCGCAACACGTCTGATGCTTGACTTAAAAATCATACTCTGAGATCTGACCAAGAAGAAACACTGAGAAGTATTGATGTCTGTCAATGACATCCATGTCTCCATACTCAGTGTTTATAGGCAAGTCTAATTTACACTGCAAAATATGAATATTGCCTTGATCTGCTTAATATAATAGATTTCTGGAAAAATTCTAAGAGTTGGAATTTAAGCCTCACATGCTGCTTCTGCCTATCAGTAGGTGCTCTGCATTTCCAACTCTACCTCCCTTAGCTGCAAGGACAACAAGAGGGAGTGAGTGCTGGTTGTCAGTGCTGCTGACATGCTGGGACAGCTAATCCTGCCTCCCCTGACATAAGCAAAGCAGGCAATCAGCTGCTTCCAGCAGTTTGCTGCCATAACAAGTTTCCTGTGTCTAAAACTTTCCCTCATTTCCTTGGCTTATTTCTTCCCATGCCTTTCTTAATGTCGAGCAGTGTGTCCATGCAGGGCTGGATGTGTTCTCTCTTTGCAGTTTGCTGCTTTAGTGAATTAGACTCGTTGTCACTGCATCAATGAGAGGAGGCAAATCCACCTGGGTGAAAATAATTTGATTGGCTTTATAGATTGTGCCATAAAAAACCTGAAGATATGCAGTTGCAAATAGAAGTTTGACTCCACAGCACTTTGATGTTTCAAGTAAATCCGTAAGGAAACAAAGTGATTGGAGAGGAATGGAAAAAAGCAGCCAAACCTGAACGTCTGGCAGCTTTTCCTTCCCCAGCAAATTAAGATACGGAGTTGTATTGGTTTAGCAGGTACCATTTCACTTCTTCAAGAAACCCTTTCCAAAATGGGCTTGATAGCCTGTGTCCTTGAGCAATTGGCTCTTTAATAAGATTAAAGAAGATGGGGAGCTTTCTTTTTCCCCTGTACTTCTTGTGAGCTAAAGGAATTGTTACTATCTGTGGAAGTTCCTTAGGGTTTCCTTTAGAAAATGAATCACAAAATTCATAGTTCCAGTAAAAGGACATAATATTACTTCTACAGGTAACAGAAACATGTCCCTGCCTCATAGACTGGGAGCTTGAGGTTTCCCTATCATAACAGCATTCAGAGATTTTTCAGTTGTTCTATATGAATACTAGAATGAGCCCTGCAGGTGAACAGAGTTTGACATTAAGTAGTGGAGGTTTCAAGACTCTAATGTGCTTTTATCCTGCTGGTAGGAGACTACTTTGGTTTAAAGTTTTTCTCTATTATGTTGTTTTTATGTGTGTAAGCTAGATACAAATATTAGATGTGAGCATCAAGTCATGTTTTTATATGAGTCTCGTAAGTAGGTAGTTGAGGGGTTAAAAAGCCAAATGAACTCTAGAGCTTACAGTGAATTAGCCTTGGTACACAAAGGAAATTTTTTCATAGGATCTGTTTGGAAAAAAACCCCAAACAACAACAACCTGCTCTGTGGAGTTGTTTAAAGTGCGAGTATTTCTTAACGTGAAAGGTTTTTCTTTTAAGAAAAATTGAATGAGCACTGATTGATGCAGTTGTGATTTTTACTGGCTTGTATGGCTTGTCATTTCAGAGTGATTTTGGTTTGAGCCTTTTGTACCTGGTCACATAAAACTATTTAATATATTTGCCATGAGATATTTACTCCTGTAATATTTAGGTACAAAGGCCTGGGTGCAGGGATGGAGCACACCTGCTTTCCACAGCTCTGAGTATGCAGTTACATTTGTGAGTGTTCTAGATCTGAACTTATTTTTCCATGTGTGCAAAAAGACACGTATAATGCAGTAGGTAATGGGTAATTTTCTTTCCTATCAAACCCAAGGATATCATACATTCCCTAGGAAGAAATGTATAATCTGAAGTTCTAGTGATGTGAACATGTATAGAACTTGAATTGGGATATAAGAGTTGACTAAATGAATAATCTGAAAGAGTAGAATACTTGATCACTCTTGGTATTAATTTTCAGTTTACAAATAATATATTGAGTTATAAAATGTTTTAATGGTAGTGATATAAGGATTTGTTTGAGGTAGGATTTGTGGAGAGAGATATGATCCAAGAAAAATTATGTACTTCGAAAAACAAGTTTCTGGGAGTACTATAAATTTGCTAATTAAAAACAAAATTGATAGTTCAACAAATACTGAAATAGCATCTTAGTAAACTATAATGGTCTAACTATCTCTTCTTGGTATTCTTTATAATACCTTCTACTATGTTTATAAGCACTCCTAGCACATAATACTTGTGTTTATATCATGCTTGTTACATTTGTGGATAATGTATTGAGCTGTTAAAGCACATACTAAAATTCTCTGGCCTGATGTAATGATTGTATTTGTTGGCTAGCTGTGATGTGCTAGGTGTGATAAGCTCAGCTGAGAATTGAAGAGCAATTAGCCTGGTCAAATTACATTCTTTCCAGCCAAGACTCAATCCCTTTTGCAGAAGTACTGGAAAAGATGTAATAAGAAGGCTAGTATAATAGTCCATGGATCATTCAGGGAGTCATTCAGGGAAATCTGAAAGCAATCAGTTACAGTGCCATCCAGTTTGTACAGCTCACATAGAGGCTGAAGCTCTACCTCTTCTACTTTCTGGTAGGTTTAAAGAAGTTCAGAAGTCTGAAGTTTCCTTGAAGCTTCAGTAATCTGTATTAGCTCCTGAGGCTTGTAAAATCATGTATATTCGTGACACTTTTCACTATATTTCTAGATAAAAGCCTCTTAAAGGTTGTTCATATCCTAGCATCAGTGCTTGCAGGTCAAGTTTGAGTCTCTGATGGCTCCATCTTGCAGCACTCTGGGGCAACTGCTGTGATGGAGAGTGTCCTGGGATGCCTGTGGAGGGAATTCACTTTGGTCTTCTTCAGCTATCAACAATAATTGTGAGTGATGCTTCAGGTGTGGTTTTAGGGGGTTATTTGGATCACTGTAAAATTGGAAACATCAGGGAACCAGACTTCAGATTAATTCTTGAGAATGCAGAATAGTTGTGAGGTTTTCTGCTTTTTCCTTCCACAAATCAAGGGCAGACCTCTGAAAATCTTGCCAAATGTGATGGTCATATATTACATAAAGCACCAAAGCAAGAGAGCTGGCCCTTGAACACTTTGTCATGAAACTTTTTGAGAACGGTGTATCTAACATGCCTTCATTTTTCTCTTTTTTGTCTGTCTCAAAAAGACAAGCCTTTTGAGAAATGCTGAGCTAAGAAATATCAGGTATGACAGGCATGATGTCAAAGTTGTGCATAAGTCCTCAAGTCTCTTTGCAGGATCTCAAAATGTTATAGAAGCAAGATGTTTATTTCCTGAGATGCATTTTTCGTGATTCTTGTATGGAGCATGTTTGTTCCAGTAACACTGGAAAGGAAACATTTGCATAACATTGAGAACTTGAGTAGGTTTGGTTTTGATTCTGACTTTCAAACCTGCTGCAATAACATCATAGTCCTTTCTTTTCTCTAGAGTAAACAATAAGTATATGCATGTAATAATATTCCCCAATGTCTCATGACACAGCCTCAAAGGAATTAAAGGTATGCCTTTGATTATACTTTTCATAAATGTTAAATATCAATCTAATAACTGAATTGGACCTTATGGGATCATACCTGTACTTAGTTCAGAGACACTTATTTGTGGAAACTTTAAGCAGGCGGTTGGACACACACGTGTCAGAAGAGAGGTGCAGGGATGAGCCTGAAAACAAAGTTAAGAAGTTTAATACCCTATGCTGCTCTAGTGTGTCTTTGACTCTCCTAATGTTTTACATGCTTGGGTTATTTGCCACAATTCTCTTTTAGGTAGCGTGAATTTTCTTTGAGCAGAAATTCACATGCTGACAAAAGATATTTCACTTAAAAAAACTTTTTTTGAGTGAGACAATGTGTAGTTCTCATTGATTTCAGCCGCTTGATCAATGATCTTAAGTGTGAAGTGCTGTGAAAGACTGTACACACATTTTTCCAGTTGTCAATATCTCACTTTTTTAAACAGAGGCAAGATTTCCAGTTTTTAATTGTTCTGTATTGGCTGGAGATTCGGTCTTAGGTAATGACTCAAACATAATGAGGAGAAAGTCCTATTAAAAGAGATAGAAAAACTGAGTAGTTAGTATTACTGGTGTCTGATTCTTGCCATGTGAGTATCTGTGGTATCTCACTCACTAAAAATAGCTCCCAAGAGATTTCACAGCTAGTCAGCATGAATCCTTAAACTTGGATTGGTTTCTTTATTTTTCACTCTGTGCTGCAGCATCTAGTTTTTATCTTCATAATATGTCTAGAAATACCAAATGTACTGAAGACATAGCACATTGCCACATGTTATGTCTGTCTCTTTTAAAATAAAATAGAAGCATGGTCTAAACAAGAGGTATACCTGGCATTAATTGATTCTAATTTTTCTCTTTATGTTGTGTATTTCCTACTGCATTGTCTTAAAAATTTTGAAAT